ACGAACCTTTCTCCGCTATCCCGGAACTTACTATGTATCACAATACTCTGTATTAAACTAATATAACCTGTTACAAAAATTCGAAGTGACGAGCGGCGTATACATTGAGCGCCATTTCTGTTGACCTGTGACGTACTTCGGTTCGAAGAGCGGATTCACCGACCAATCGGAGGGCGCTGCGTTTGCCGATCGCTATGCGCATTGGGAATGCGTACATCACAGCTCAACAGAAATGGCGCTCAATGTATATGCCGCTCGTCACTTCGAATTTTTGTAACAGGTTATATTAGTTTAATACAGAGTATTGTGATACATAGTAAGTTCCGGGATAGCGGAGAAAGGTTCGTGTTGAGAATAAACCCAGTTTGGAAGTTCTAGTCTCTGAAAACGCACCCGCAAACCGCCCTGAGTGATTCACTCAGGGGTTCCTCCACACAAACGGATAGACTCGCGTTGTAACCCTATCGATCCTGTGTTTGGGTTACATTATTGTATCTAGGGTTTTCCATGTGCACGCCATTGTCATTGTGCACAAATTCGTAAAGAGATATGATGTTTTGTTGGGTTTTGCACAATGGCATGCACGTTGCAGACCTGTGTGTTGTAGAAGTATTTGAATGGCATTTATTTGAAATTATTAGGTGACCGTGATGGAGATTAAATGTTACATTCTGCATACTGCCTAGCTCTAGAACTATAGCCCTCCGCTCCGCCGCAGGGCTATAGAACATACTATGACAATTTCCAGGGAGTAAGCAAAGACAACTTTTTTTGCGGTTAATAACTTCTTTGGTATGCCAAATAAAGCACATTCTCTGCCGCACAAATGTCTTAAGTTACTATAAACACTAAAATTAAACCGCAAAATAACGCTTAAATGTTGTACTTGCTATATTACTCGTCGACGAAGATTGTTTACCAACTTGTAACCGCGCTAGCGCTGCACAACGAAAAATGGCGGTTTGCAACCACGTGCAACCTGCCCACCCCTCCACTTGGAAATACATTGGGCCCGCTTACTAGCGCGACTAGCGAAAAATGGCGGTTACAAGTTGGTAAACAATCTTCGTCGACGAGTAATATAGCAAGTACAACATTTAAGCGTTAGTTTGCGGTTTAATTTTAGTGTTTATAGTAACTTGAGACATTTGTGCGGCAGAGAATGTGCTTTAGATTTGGCATACCGAAGAAGTTATTAACCGCAAAAAAGTTGTCTTTGCTTACTCCCTGGAAATTGCCATAGTATATATGTTCTATAGCCCTGCGGCGGAGCGGAGGGCTATAGTTCTAGAGCTACATACTACCTGCCTAGTAGAAATTTCGTCACGTCCACATTCCACCTATGCTATGGCTATTCCGCATTTCCTGCAGAAATGACAATGCTTTCATAAACAGGGATGAGATTCTTCCGCGGATCCGCGGAAATCTGCGGATTTGACAGTCCCAGGGGTCGTTTTTGTGAAACGTCTAAATTCGTTGAGAAAATTGGGAGGGGGGGGTAACAATGTAACAATTTAAATTATATACCTTCAACAGCACCTGACTGTAGACTGTAGAGTGTAGACAGTAGACTGACAGCGAAGTATACAGTGTATCTGTTTTTGCATACCAGAAAGGAAAATCCTCGTTCACAGGCTGCAGTAGAGGGCAGACATTGAGGTAGCTGATC